TTTGGATAGGTATTTATTTGTAAATTCCCGGAACAAATATTCTATATTGTTGCATCCGATATTTGATTTAGTCAATGTAGTGCAATGAATGTGAGAAAATGAAAAATCTAGAGATAGTGAAGCAGTCAAAACCAAATCTATCCTGTCTCAACAAAGTGTATGCAAAAAAAGCAATTATTCACCTTTCTTTACACTTTCTCTATTAACCGTAGCTATCTATAAAGCATAGATCACTTTTGAGATAATTTTGAAAATTGGAGACATTTTTTCCATTGTTGTAAAAAATGGCCTTCCATAAGAGTGAAATTAAGGTAACATTTTGGTACACTAAGGCAAAATGGAGAAGGCATTTTCCTTGTTTGGGTGTGACTTTTGTAACCCCTATGCATTTCTAGCCCAAGTATACAATTCGATACAATGCATTAGGACTCCATCTTTTATTTGTACAAGCATTCACATAAAGAGCATTGCACCAAAGAGCAAGTATTTGATTCTTGCACGAGTTTTCTCGCAGATGATTTTACAGTATTTTTCAATTTAAAATGGGAAAAAGAATCGAAATGTATTTTATACGTAAATATTTTGAATTAAACATTTTTAATAAGCCCATCACCTTCAACGACACAAATAAAATAATGTCATCATATATTTTTTTTTTCTTTTAAACAATACATTCGAGTGTTTGTGGACATTGTGTGAGTGCAAACTGAAATTGATGTTTTGGGTGGGTGGTAAGGGGCAAGTGAGTGGAACACAATTCCGAAATTTGATCCCCTCTTGGTCTAAAATCCGTTCTTTAATCATTGTTTCCCCCACTAAACTCTACAATATTTTCATACAAATTTCATGCTTGGCAAAATCTAAACGCCTCTTTTTCATTGGTTTCCCTCACTTCATTATAGTAGACATAAATTAGTGGCCTCACTATCAAGAAATAAGATAAAAATATGTTTTAAATATGCTGGAAAAAGGGTAGACCAAAATTGATTTGTTGTGAGCTGTGATTCTAAGAAGAATTTAGTCATATTGAGGACATATAGTATTCAAACGGGATTCCGATCTAATATACAGTCCCGTTCGTCTCTCATTTTTCATCCATAAAAAGAAGAATACTTAATATTGAGCTGTGATTCTAAGAAGAATGGCAAGTCGCTTATTCTACTTAATAAGGATGGACGGAGGGTGTAGGGAGCAAGTGAAGTGATTTTTATAATGCCGACCACTACATAAGCCGATAGTGAAGAATACTCTTCGACTTTTCCTACTTTCATTGCTAAACTATGGTCTCGTGCTTCTAAAGCGGCCCATGTTTTTTTGAAGAATCGTGCACCAATGCATGGGCATATGGTCTTCCCTTTCCATCCAAGTTTTATGGGCGTTGCCCCATTCTTCAATCAGATGTTTGAACATGAGCTATGCATTCTTTCCTAAGTTGGACGAATATAATTTCAAAAAAAAAATAGAAAATGAAAGGCAAAAGTTACAAACTTGTAATGAATTGGAAGTGGGAAACTCTTGGGCCAGCCGACAAAATCCCGTTTGAACGGCACAACGTGGGGTTTTTGTTAAGGAATTTATGTGTCAAGTTTTGCAAATACATGCATCCACTTCATGCCCCGCCATGTCAGGGTAGTGGCTCCGCCTTCCGCCGCAATTATCTCCACTAATACTTGCCGGTGGTGCTATCATTTCAATCTTGCACTGATTTCATAAATGATAAATCTAAAACTAGTGACTTGTAATTCTAATTTCACATCATCTATTTCCCATGTCTAAAAATTTCATCTAATTATATGATTGTGAAGTTTAAAATTGAGCTGAAAAAACTGTTGACACTTCATTTAGTTCAACAAAAATGCAAGGGGAGAAAAAAAAAACATATTATTGCTCCATATATCCTCCTTCAAAATTCTTCAATTCAATTCAAGATGGTTTCTATATGACATATTATTGCTTCCTATATCGTCCTTCAGAATTCTTTAATTCAATTCAAGATGGTTTTAAGTCTGAAATTTCAAGTATAAAAGAAGATGAAGGCTCAAGACCTCTTCAAGTGTGTTTTAGTGGGAGATGAAACATCTTCAAAAAAAAGTTTTAGAATCATCATTGTATTCTAAAGTTTTCTTTATCTAATATTGTAATTTTTAATCTTGTAATTTTCAATTTTATATATCAAATAAAAATTTCTTCATTTCAAAAGTTTGTATTCTCTATATTTTATCATTCTCTATCACTCTCGAGCTATTACCCCATCCCTGGTATAGAATCCGTATAGATATTTTTAAGGGTATTTCCTCTTTAAATATATCCAATCGATCTTATCGAAGTTTATTTTGATGTCACAATGTATTCTTGTAACGACTCGTGTTGTGCTGAAAAGTAGGATGTGTCCTAGAAAAGTCAAGATCAATTGGTAATCATATTTGGGTAAGAATTGTTATATTTGCTTCAAAACTTACGATGAAAATACGAAATAGATTCTAAATTAACATGTGTGTGTAAGTTTATATCCATATTTGAAAGTAGAACAAGTTCGTCTTGCTTCTAGAGATGTGTATATGCGTCCACACAATAATATATTAAAATGCTATATCCTCGATCATTAAAATGAGCATGGATTGAATGTCAATTATTAATGACTTAATCGAAGTAAAATGCACAATACTGTATAACATAAACAAACAAAAAGGGCAATAAATATTATTTATGGTATTTAGAAGTGGCAATGCTCGGCTCGGCCAGTAGACAATCGAGCTTTGCTCGACCCTATGGACGAGTCAAGCTCGACTTCTTTAGATAATTCGTTTATTATTGTATATTATATGTGTTGTACAAAAGCACTTTGAATTCCAAGCTTATCTAGTGATTAAAGCATATTATCTTGTCAAATTGGGTGACCAATTCTTCCCTTAATTGAGGATTAATTCCACACAAAGTTGAAGTCTCAAGTTTTCTTCCTTTACTTAAATTAGCATCCTTCTTTAGCTTTAATCCACAAAAGTAGAGAAAAAAGGTCAAATTTAAATCCACTGGCGGGCGTTCGGCTTGTGGGGCCTCAACGCCGGTAAGTGGACCAATTGAGCCGCAGCCATCTCATGAAAAGGAGCCACAGTGGGGTTGGGTGACTTGATGGTACGCGTGCTTTGCCATTCGGGGCTTAGCTAGCGGATCTTGATTACTCTCTCAGCTTGAGCCCATTTTTTTCCGTACAAACTTGTTGTATGTCTTGACGGCTGAAACTTAATCGGCTGGCTTCAGAATTAATAATTATAAAATGGGTCCTCATTTTTTAATAAAAAATGAATAGTGGGAGTGAAAGTTAAACATGCTTCGTTTGGTTTGAAGGCCTACACGTGATGATTACATTGGGCACGCAACCTTATACTTCTTATATTTGCTTTTTTGACCCACAACTTTTTTTTTTTTTTTTGTTACCAATTTCATCTTCAATCATTTATAAGTATGTGAGCAATCCCAATGATGACATCCCTTTAGTTTGGTGGTGAGTGATCTTTTATTTGACCTACAAGTAGGGGTGTTAAATTGAAGAGCCGGTTCGCTCCTTGGTGGGCTAGTTGTATTGACTCATAATTCATCTTACCTTTTTAATTTTTAACGTTTGACAAGTCGGTTAGCTCATTCTCGTTCGACTTGCGAGCACCAACATCTACGTCTCGCCTCGTGATTTCATCTTACTTTTTTTTTTGTTTTTTGTCATTTGACAAGTCGGCTAGCTCGTCCGACTTGCGAGCACTTACATCCATGTCTCATCTCGAACACGAGGCGAGGTGAGGATTGGCTCGTCCACTAAAACCCCTACTACATGCATAAAATGGACTATCCATTCTCCAAGTCCGAAATAAAAAAAGGCAACCATTTCTCAAAAAATTATTGCTTCAAATCAGGTAAGTGTTGGTGATTTTTGAAAGAATTAACTTAAGTACTCTTCAAACAGTCTTGCGTGATGATCATGAAATTTAGTGTTATGGGGCGTATGGTGGTGCTAATAAAAAACATCGATTTGTTCCACATATCAGATAACATAGACAAATAATGTGTTAAGATCCATTGGAGCTGAATAAGAATATGAAGGTTTGTTTGAATTTAATATCATGTAGAAATTTAAAAATAGAACATCATTGAAACAAAATGAGCTAAACAAATTGGATCGAATGTGATCTCGTGAGAGCGAATTAATATTGCCATCAAGAACGTAGAATGGGAATATAATCGAGACAAAAACATTTTCATAAAACAAAAAAATAGATTGGTTTGTAAAATAAGCCATTTAACTAAAATGAAAAAAAAATGTAAATATTTGCTTATAAGTAAATTTTAACCTTAGCCAATCATGCAATACTTTGTCCTTGGAATAGAATCTTATGTGGAAGACATGGATAGAGAAAGAGAAACAAAGTTATCTCACATGCATATATACATAATTTATATCTATATATGTTGCAGAAAGTACTCCTTTCCTTCTCATTAACTCTCTGCAACTGTAACACACACTATAAAGAAAGAAAAAAGAAAACTTCTGTCGTGCCTTAAACTTCTCTACTTTTGAGATCGCTCTCGCCGCCTTTTCTGCAAGAAAACTTGAACACAATTTTAACTTACCTTAATTACTTGTAGCTACACCAAATTTGCAGCAATTTCTGGGCTGTGCATTGAATTCTCACTCTTGTTTTTTTCTCCAATTTATTTGTTTAGTTTTCTGTCAATTCTTGGAAATGAACAAATATTAAGCCCCCCAGCTGCCTATATATCCATTGCTTTCTTTAGGGTGTGTTTTTCCATAATCTGAGATCTGGGTTCGAGAAAAAGACTAGTCGAAACAAGGTATTGAGAAAGTAAAAATAGGATCTTGCTATGAATCCGGAGGTACGGTGGGGTGGGGATTTTACTGTATACTTTGTCTTATTGAGTGTCGTTCCTTGTGTTTGCAGATCTGCTGGAATTTTAGGGGCATCTCTATATTTTGAAAAAAATAGAAGAAAATGTTGCATCAGAAGCAAGCAGAAGAAGCTATTGTCAGTACCTTCAATGAGACTGAACATGACGGCGGTGGTGGCAAGGAGGAGGAGCAAGTGGAGGAGCAGCCTATTTTCAGTGTCAAGAGCTTCCTCTGGCACGGCGGCTCAGTCTATGATGCTTGGTTTAGTTGTGCTTCAAATCAAGTATTTGCATAAACATTTTTACCTTACGAATTCTAATCAAATTAAAGATTTTATGAACTAACTTATATATTTTATTGGATCATTTTGTTGCAGGTAGCACAAGTTCTATTGACATTGCCATATTCATTCTCTCAACTGGGAATGCTATCTGGAATTTTGCTTCAAATATTCTATGGCATACTGGGTAGTTGGACAGCCTACCTCATTAGTGTTCTCTACGTGGAATATCGAAGTCGAAAGGAGAAAGAAGGTGTTAGCTTCAAGAACCATGTCATTCAGGTTCGTCTTATCAACAATTTGTTTATGAAAATTGTTCACGTGTTAGACTCGACCCATTTGAATTGATTCTTTGTCCACTGCAGTGGTTTGAAGTGTTGGATGGATTATTAGGTCCTTATTGGAAAGCAGTGGGTTTAGCCTTCAACTGTACTTTTCTACTATTTGGATCTGTCATCCAACTCATAGCTTGTGCAAGGCAAGTAAAAAGTGAATCTTTATTCTTTTTGTTTTTACTTATTTTAATGTTGGTGCCAGCTTAATTCGAAAATAACAACTTTAAAGTTTGATTGTTACAGTAACATATATTACATAAATGATCGATTGGACAAGAGGACATGGACTTACATATTTGGAGCATGCTGTGCCACTACAGTTTTCATTCCCTCTTTTCACAATTACAGAATATGGTCTTTTCTAGGACTTGGAATGACAACATATACAGCTTGGTACTTGACCATAGCAGCCCTGGTCCATGGGCAGGTAATATTTTAAGTAACTATTTTACTTCTAAGTAAAAAAAAAAAAAAAGAAAGGCTTAACAGGGTCCCCTATTATTGGCTGCCCAAAAATAGTGTTTTAGAGCACCCAATAGTTAAGCCTCTGTTAGTGATTTTCTGTACTTGGAGAATTACTCAAAATAGCTACCTTGTTACATAGTCAAAAAATTTTAGTATTTTGATTGACATAATGACACACGATAGTTTGTCATTGGTCAATTTAAAAAATTAAGTAGTTTTTCCATCAATCATTCACGAGTAAAGCCACTTTGCCCGAATTTGGTGCCACCTTGATTGACCGACCCTCACATTGCACCATGGGTCCCGTGTGAATTAATTAATGCTGACCCCTCATATGTGTGTTCGGTCAATCAAAGTGTCGGTCAAGATATTCATATAGCATTACTCATCATTCAGTGTCACCAATACATATGTCATCCAAGGTGGTAAATTCATCTAACAAGAAAGTATTATGCAAAAAAAGAAAAAAAAGTTACATATTCAAACAAAGTTTCATTTGAGAGAAGTAAGCTTTATTTATATAATATAAGTAAAAAGAAAGTAACTTGCAAAGAAATTTGATTGACTTATGTTTAGGACCCGTTTGGTAGGTTTCTTTTTTTACTTTTCTTTTCTCGTAGAGTTTTTAATGAGGAAGCTATCTTAGGAAGCATTCGGCAGGACTTCTTAGATTAAGAAGTTGCACATGTTCTATTTGAATAATTTTTTGAGAGTGTTGTTAAAAGAATTTTTAGAAAAAGCTAACATAAGATAACTTCTTCTATAAGAAGCAAAAGTTGTGTCAAAAGCATTTATTCTCGAAAGAAGCTTTTGATTTCTCAAAAATCGTGACAAATGTGCCCTAGTGTAGTTATTCAAGGACACCAATGAAACCCTAGAATGAAAGCAATTAATCCTATGTTTTTTTTTTTGTATTGGTTTTGACAGGTAGAAGATGTGCGACACTCGGCTCCAACACAGCTAGTTCTATACTTCACTGGCGCCACCAATATTCTATACACCTTCGGTGGACACGCTGTTACTGTGTAAGCCTTTTTATTTTTAATTCTGCAATTTGATGGATTATTTATGCGTAAATATTATTATCTTGTACTCCGTCGCTTCTATATGGCTTCTTCTTGGCAGCTTTTGCCGGCCACCTTGGTGTTCTAAACCAAGACAGAATCATAGAAACGCCTTTTTCATTGTTTACAGGAAAACAACATTAACGTCACCCCACCCCTCTCAACCCCACTTCCTATAAAGAATATGGTAAAACTAGCCTTCTTGGGGCAAGTTCTTCCCACTTCATCTCATCCATTCTTTTAAAATCGACCCGAGCATTCATCCGGAAAAGATAAATTGTAAAAAGTTAATAGTAAAATAGTAAAAATAAAAATTGAAGTATTTTTTGAGAAAAGATTGACTGGTTTTTATGGGCCATGTTGATAAAAGATAAATAAATAAATTTACTGTTGTATGGTTTAAGTTAATTTTTGACGAGTCGCGCACTAGATTACATTGAGCTGGCGGAGAAAGCAAGGTTTAAAAACGACCGGTGGCTGTTCTGTTCAACCATTGAACTTTCTCATCAATAAAAAGAAGCATCACTTGTAGTGACAATTATTTGAAAGTACTTGTTCATCAAACAATAATTGCATAACATGACAAAGGAACATTTAACAATTATTCAAATTCCTTGTTCTTTTATGATATATGTTGGTTTTTCTTATCTTGAATTGAATGGCGTTATTCCCTTCAATAATTCAATGAATCAATTTCTAATCATTTGAAAAAATTTACAGGGAAATTATGCATGCAATGTGGAAACCTCAAAAGTTCAAGTATATTTACCTATTGGCTACTTTATATGTTTTCACTCTAACTTTGCCATCGGCTTCTGCTGTCTACTGGGCGTTCGGCGATCAGCTCCTTAACCACGCCAACGCCTTCTCCCTCCTCCCGAAAAACGGCTGGCGCGATGCTGCCGTTATTCTTATGCTCATTCACCAGGTTCATTAATTATTTCGTGTAACGTGTAAAAAACATTGTTAATCTCTTTATTTTGTTCCAAAGTTATCACTGAAGTTTGCGTTTTCATTTCAGTTCGTTTACTCAGTTAGATTCCGTTAATTTTCTAAAGCATATCCAACGCAAAAGACCTCCAAGTTGAACAATCACTTTGGAATAAAATAACTTCGCTACAAATTAACTGTCTAACAATGTTTTTAACCCTTTTGTATGTGTTCTTGCACTACTTAGGCAATGTAAATTGTTTTTATTGTGAAACAAATACTAAACTAATGATTTTTATTTGTGGTTTGAACAGTTTATTACATTTGGATTTGCTTGTACACCATTGTACTTTGTGTGGGAGAAGGTGATAGGAATGCATGACACAAAAAGCTTATGTTTGAGGGCACTTGCAAGGCTGCCAATAGTGATTCCAATCTGGTTTTTGGCCATTATTTTCCCATTCTTTGGCCCCATAAACTCTGCAGTTGGGGCACTTTTAGTGAGTTTCACAGTCTACATAATACCATCTCTTGCCCATATGCTTACTTACCGAAAAGCCACTGCTCGTCAGGTAACTTTAACTCTGGTCGCACTTTATTTTACTGGTTTATTATAACTATCTAGTATAGTATTGGATAAAACTCGATAGTAGAATGCACACGATATTATCGTGTCAACCTCATCAAACATGTCATATATACACATGTTTGTATTGCTGAACTAGATAATACTCGACGTAATAAAAAATGTATATAACAGTTTTTGTTGATTGTTGTGTCCAATCTAACATACTAATAAACATGTCATAAATGAAACACCATAGCGATATTAAGTATTTATCCACGTGAAACTTTACTAGATTTTAGCTCTATACATGAATTCGATAAATAATATACAGCTGGTCCATATGGCATGGATGAAGATTTAGGAGGCAAGTCCTCTTCATGTAGTTACTTCTTGCGTTTTTTGGTACGTTGGACTAGCCGGCTAAGCAGAATTTAATCTGAAAAAATTCATCATGTCTCTCTTCCTTGATCTTATCTGCTCAGTCGAGTGTAACAAACATACATGTATGGCCATGAACTTGTAAGTTTGACATCTAGATAAAAGATAGACCTTATGCATGAAAATAATATATCAAATCCTTTAAATTAGACCGTCTTGTAGTTTGTGGTTTCTCGTATATTTGTTTAGAATGTTAGATTGGATTGGTGTCGATTGAAATTGATTTGTTCTACTTGTTTGTGTGGATAATTGCAGAATGCTGCAGAAAAGCCTCCGTTTTTCTTGCCAAGCTGGACAGCCATGTATGCATTGAACATATTTGTGGTGGGTTGGGTTTTCGTGGTCGGGTTCGGGTTTGGAGGATGGGCAAGCATGACAAATTTTGTCAAACAAGTCGACACATTTGGGCTCTTTGCTAAATGTTATCAGTGCAAGTCTCCAACACCCGCACATCAAACTCCGGTAGCACCCCACCACTAAGGACTCACAGGGCGCCAGTGACACGCCACCACCATCGAGGGAGTCACATTTCTTCGACTTAGTAAAACGTGAAAACTTACCATCCGACCCGTCCCTTTCATCCTCTCTCACTCTCCCCATAGTTTGTAATATACAAGGGGAGATAGCAATATTTTCCTAAAACGTGAGGTGTGTTTATCTTTTCTTTTTCGAATAGTTTTATATTTTTCTCGAAATATTGGATAAGATAGATTTGAATTGTGATGATTCCTTTGCTACCAAAGCATAGGCTTATTTAGTGAATATAAGTTAGATCTTTTCCTTCTTTTTTTTCCTTTCTTTAATTGGAATATAATATTGTAACATATAGACAAGTTGTGGTTGATGTTATTGCTAGCAAATTGTAATGTCATTGTTATTTGCTATGTTTCTAAGTACTCAATATATCCAATTGTAGCAAATCAAGATTCCAACTTAGACTGCACAAAAAAAACCTTTCTGCCCAATCTAGAGCCGTCTTGACTGTGTCTAATAATTGAAGCTTAGATTATATAGGTATGAATGGATATTTTTAGTTAACGTCCTGTTTGGTGGGGATTATAATCAAATTTTAGTAGATTTTGATATAAATTGATAAAATGTGTAATTAAAATTTTTTTATTTTGATTTGGATTTGGATTAAAATCTTGATTTTAATTTCTACAAAACAGAAGCTAAACGCATCAAGAGGGAATTCAAAGTGTACTAATATTAAATTGTGGAACCTAATTATTACGATTATGTGAAGTTCATACATCGATTGAGTCACAGAAAACATGGTGTGCGGTTTTTGTCTTGTAAGCTTCTTTTCACCATAACGAATTATTGCAACAACGGAAGCTAAAATAGTTTCATATTGAGACTAACACGTCGTTGTTATTATTATTATTATTAATATTTTACTTTTTTATTGCTCTCGGTGGTGTAGAAGTATAATTTTTAATTCTCAATGGACAAAATCTTATCCTGTCCCATAAATCATTTCCAATCACATATTCTCTCAATAAAAAAAAATTTATACGTACATTCAAATTTTTTTCATACTCTTTAACAACACATTCTTGAAAAGGTTACTATTACAAAATTTATTTTCCTAACTAAAGGGGCACAAACAAATCTTAAAAGGCATTCTTTTGACCTAGACTAGATATTTTAATAATCACGTGCAACTTATACCTTGTCTGTAAGTGTAAGAACGTGCATGAACCAACTCCTTCTCCCCTAATCTTTTTCTCCTAAATCAAAGTAGAATTACTTCAACTTTATTATTTGCTTGGATTTAAAAGTTTGAACTTTGTTTTTCAGTTTTGCCCTCACTTTTTCGCTTCTTAGATTTTTGAATTTGTTTGTGGGAGTCTTAGCTTAAAAACGCCTAATTACTTTTTTATCCATACATTTCAAAGAATTTACAATTAACACACATTATTTCATCACTTATTTTTATATATTTATAATTTAAATCATATATAAACACTTTCAGAACATGCTTGAAAAGGAAGAAACGTCTCGACGGATTGGCAATATCCATTATTTTTATTCTAATGTAAACTCTTCTTCAGATATTTTGGGACAAGTCAAGTTTGATAAACCATATTTTCCAAAAAAGGGGGTCCAAGGAATAAGTAATTTTCCACTAATTTTGATGCTAATGAACATCGTATTGTCTCTATGACGTTAAAACACTTTTTTGTAGGAGCAGCACGATACAGTTGTCTTAAAATGGGAAGTAGTATATGGAAATCTAGGCTACATTAGGGCATCTGAAGTTGACTTTAAAATGTATCAACTGTCAAAAAGTTCACTTTGTGGTGAAACTATAATTATGAGAACTATTTGGGGGTGTGTGGTGGTAGTTGAGGGATAGACCAATCCAGTAGTCCACCACTGAACATCGTGGTATGGACCTGTTTTATTATTCTCGCATACATATATATATGTGTTTTAGGGTATCATCATGTTTTTTGGAATAGTCTTCCAATACATTCCTCTATTGTACTTGTTTTTGATATAGTGAATTTTTTTCCTCTTGTTTGTGATATTTTTTGGGTCTAGAATTTTCACGTAAATTTGTGTGTTCATGTTCTTATTTTTTGTATTGCATATTCTCGCTTTTTCGTAACAATTCTTAAACATACGTTTATTAAAGACTTGATGAATTCCCTTTTTAACATAGATAAAACATATTTTCATAAAAATGGAAATTACATGGAGCCCTACTTTTCAAGATTCAAGTTCAAAAATCAGATTTACGCTACTTTTCAAGATCCTAGTTCAAAAATCAGATTTTAAGTTTTAATGTTCAAAAATCAGATATTTTATAGATAGATACAGATTTTTATATTTAATTAAATATTAATAATAATATTATAAAAATTAATTTATATACACGTAAATCCCTAACTTCTCACATTTCAATCCCTCCCCTTTCTCTCTTTCTCTTTATCGGCGACAGGAAGGGGCTTCTCTCCATTATCTTCGCCGCTAACATTGGCGACGATGAGTTCGACTGGATGCCAGTGAAACCACAGTGGCGCTCAGATAACGATCGTCGCTACTGCACTCAAATGGACAGTGATGGTGTTTGGTGATGGTAGGTTTTTGCCCCGATGGTGGTGTGGTGATCCGTTGGAGCTCTAGCACCGCATTAGGGCTCCAACCCTTGCTACATCCGACCAACAATCGAACGGTCTCACCCGTAGAAAATCAGCCTCGCATCTCCCTTCATCCACCCATCTTCCTCTCGTTTCCTTTTCAACAGTGGTGTTGGTGTGGCTGTAGCTGTGGCTATGTTATTTTTCGATTCAATTTTTTGGTGGTGGTTGCATTGTGGTGGCGGATCTGCGCGGTTGTGGCGATGGTGGTGGATCTGGTGGGTTGGGATGCGATGGTGGGAGATGGTGGTGGTGGTGGTGGCGGTTTTGGCTCGGGGGTTTCAAAGGGTATTTTTCGATTCAATTTTTTTGGTGATGTTTGCGTTGTGGTGACTGGTCTGCGTGGTTGTGGCGATGGGTTAGGCTGTTTTGGAGGCGATGGTGATGCTTATGGTAAGTTGTGGTTGTGTTGGCGCCTTTAGCAATAATGGTTGTGGTGAGTTGCCGGATGTGGTAGCGACGTTGGAGTAGGGTTAGGGTACGTTGACGGTGGTGGTGGTGAGGTGGTACTGTACAGTCTATGTGACCAATAAATTAGTTAATTATGACCTAAAAGTACTTTGTGACGTGCATTGTAACCATTTGAAATTAACCTGTGAATATCAAAATAAACACGAGTCATGTGCAAAATATTCTGTGACTTGTGTTGTNAATTGGAGGGTATATTGGTCATTTTCTGTCAAAAATTGGAGAAAATGACGTTTTGCGCAAAAAAAGTGAAAGGTAGGGATGTTCCGCACCAAAAAATGAAAGGTAGGGATGTTTTCCACAGAAACAGGCAAAGGTAGGGACGTTTTGCACCAATAACCCCTTCTAGAAATAGTCTCATGGGCTTCTTGATTGATCCATGCTTAATGTTAGGCCCAAAAATCTGACTGAAGTCAATGCCATGAGGAGTAGTCGTTTAGCCCATTTTTTTTCCATAACTCATTTTTTTAATCACTTATTTTCAATCACACATTCTCTCATAAAATATTATTACAAATTAATTGAAAATTTTTCCTTATTTTTAACCATACATTCTCCAAAAAATTACTATTTCAAAACTTACTTCCCCCAAATTTCCATTAAAATGGAGCTCAAACCACGAAAGAAGAGTTAAATTGCCAATCACCTTTTCAAAAAGTTTTAAGTTGTTAGAGAAATTATGAATTTATCGCCAATTTTTTTTCTTTTTCGAAGATCTAACACAAGTACAATTTTTATAAATGAGTGAAAGTAAAATTTGAACTCTATACTCTTGTTCGTATCAGGTTAAACCACATCATCTAAATTTTAAATGGTAAAAAATTGAACAAATTTATTAATTTAAAATTTCTCTATGATAGGCAGTAACATAAAAAATACTAAAAATTATGAATAAGTTAATGCCCTCCAGTTTTTTAAGCAACTTGAATTTTAAATTATTATTTGAGGCCGGCTTTGCCATTTTTGTAGTTTTTGTGCTCCAAATCTTTAGATTATCTCTCGTTCATCTCATAAAAGTACAATTTGCTTCAATTCAAAGAGAATATTTTACACAATATATGGCTTCTGAGATAACACAAGAAGAAGATGAAGAAAACCCTGTTGACAAAGAAGCAGAAAAACAAAAGATTAGGCAGATTATAGACTACCAAAAATCCCTATATTTTTCATCGTCGTCGTCGTCGTCGTCTTCTTCTTCATTCTCTGCTTCGAGGAGTTCACTTTCGTCCCCTGGAAAAAGTAGAAATCTGTTAGGGTTGATGAAAGAAGGAAGCACCTCTCTGAGAAGATTGTTTGACATGGAACATACAAGTTTGGGAAATTATTTCAAGGATTACAGTGGATCACCAATCATTAAGCCTATTCTTTTGTGGGGAAGTGAGTCTGACGATGGAATTCATGATGATCCATGGATGGAAATAAAGCAAATAAAAGGCAGTTCTGAATCAAGAATTGATGATCAAATTAGGGTGGTTTCATCAAAGGGAAGTTCTGATGATCAAGAGATTATTCACAAAAGAATGTCGAGAATCCGTAGACGAAAGTTGACAAGGACCAAGTCTTATAAGAGATTGCCAAGATTTGTTTTCTGGAGATTTGGAGGGTTCAGATTCAGATTGAGAAAATTGAAGGTTATGATTTGTGGTAGGAAGTTCTAATATGATCAGAAAAGTAGGTTTTTGTATTAGATTCATACATCATTCATTAAAATTTTAGAGTAAATTTTATTGTATGCACACACCAATTAATAGCTTGCATTGTATATTTTGTCAAATTAAAGGAAATCTTGTTTACATTTGGAAAGGAAGAAGTGAAAATGTTGCAAAATGTAAAACATGATTCTTGAAATCGAATCCAGCAACTGAATTATGGTGAAATCTCCAACCAACTGGAGCCTTAGTTGTTAGTTTAATGATTCTCCTTTTGTGCCTATAAATAGCTGTATTAAGTGTGTAGAAATAGAAGCTCGAGAGTGAAAGAGAGTAGTATTTCTTTAGTAGGAAGTGGAGATTGGAGGAAAAAAAAATTGAAAATTCTTCTACCGATTCATGGTGTATGAATGTGAAGTCTTGATAAATAAAAGACTGAGGAAGATACTTGTAAAGTATTTGCTGATTTTAGGGCAGCCCATTTACGGATCCAACTCACAGGCCCAAAACTATTAGCATCACTTACTAGCCCAACTTTTGGAAAGATCTGGAATTGGTATAAAAACGTGTTTCTGGTGTGAAGGCGTTTTTGGAATAAAAGGGCCTTGAGTTGATGGATGACAAGTGGTCACCTGTGAACGGTTGGATCAAACTGATTGGCTCTCTCATATAAAAGGAAATGAACGACTCTAGGGCTTCACTTCTTCAGATCTTGACTTTCTCGAGCAGCTTCTTCTCTTCCAAAAGAACTCTTTGATTTCTCTGTATACTTTTATGTTTTGAATCTTGTGTGATTCTGTATATGGGAGAGTGATATATGAACTCTTGTGTGAGTTTCATATGGTTGTGGGAAGATCTTGTGAATGCTGTGTTGATCGAACTGCGTGTTCTGGATTTGTAATCTTTTGCCTATTTTTGGATGGTTCTAGTGGATTGAGCTTAATCCTTAACGGATGCTCAACNATCAATTTTTGTTACTGATTCGTTCGGTTTCGGTTTAGATCGGATGTTCTTTCCATATGACACCTAATATTGACTGTCTATCTGATTATTCTGACCTTGATGAAGGATCAGTTAAACTTGGGAATGATGAGGTGTGTCATGTTAAAGGAATGGGCAATGTGTTGCTGAAATTCAAAAATGGCCATAACCTACTATTGAAAAACACCCGATATGTACCAGCCTTAAGAAGGAACCTCATATCCCTAGGAGTTCTTGATGATGAGAGATATCAAATTGAGATTAAAAATGGTTCTACTAATATTATCAGAAATCAAAAACTTATTGTCAGTTCACTAAAATTCAATGGAATTTATGTTATAGGGGCTGAAATCCCTTCACCTAATCATTCTGTGAACTTTGTCACACATCCCGATAAATCAGAGTTATGGCATAAAAGGCTAGGCCACTTGGGTGAAAAAGGCCTTAAAACCTTGTCAAGTCAAGGGGTTTTTGGAAAGGATAGTGTTCAAAAATTAACCTTCTGTGAACACTGCATAATGGGAAAACAAGTCAGACTGCCCTTCAAGGTAGGGCTGCACAAATCCCAAGATGTCCTTGAATACATACATTCTGATTTATGGGGACCTGCCCTGTACAAACTGTATCTGGTTTCAGATACTATCTTCTTATTACTGATGATTTTTCAAGGAAAACATGGATTTTCTTACTAAAATCTAAATCTGATACATTCTCAATTTTCAAAGAATGGAATTTATTAATTGAAAATCAAACTAATAAGAAGATAAAAATTTTAAGAACTGACAATGGGTTTGAATTTTGCAATACAGATTTTGATAAATATTGTTCTGAACAAGGAATCTTGAGACATAAAACTGTCATCTATACTCCTCAGCAGAATGGTGTTGCTGAGAGATTAAATAGAACCATTCTTGAAAGGACTAGATGCATGTTAATCAGTTCTGGTCTTCCAAAGATTTTTTGGGGAGAGGCTGTAAAGACAGCCTGCTATCTCATAAATAGATGTCCTTCCAGTTCTCTAAACAATAGAATTCCAGAACAAATCTGGTCTGGTTCATTACCAGATTACTCCTATCTTAGAACCTTTGGATGTGCAGCATATGCACATCACACAGATTCAAAATTGGACCCTAGATCCTTGAAGGGTGTTTTCTTAGGTTATGGAGAAGGGGTTAAAGGTTATAGGTTGTGGCTAAGGGATCTGAGAGGTTATAAAGTGATTACAAGTAGGTCTGTAATTTTTAATGAAGAAGATTTGCCTTGTCTTGGTGACAAATCTGGTGAAAAGGTAGAAAAAGATGACTTTGTAATCACTGATATGAATCTGAATAAAGAGACTGAAAGTGACCAGATTCATCTTGAGGTGGAGCCACATGTAGTGGAACCAGAAAATGTCTTTGATGTTGAAATTTTGGAAGATAACCAGCATTTGGAGCCTGCAAATGATCTGCAGGACTACCAGCTTGCTAGGGATAGAGAAAGGAGGGAAATAAGGCCTCCATCCAAGTATCAGTATGCTGATTTTGTGACTGAACAATCTGAACCTGATCTGTTTGATACAGAACCAGCTTTTTATGAAGAAGCTGTCTCTTGCAAAGAATCCCCTAAGTGGATTAATGCAATGGAAGAAGAAATGAACTCTTTATATAAAAATAAGACCTGGATCTTAGTGGAAAAACCCAAGGAATGCAAAGTGATTGATTGTAAATGGGTTTACAAGATCAAAGAGGGAGATGATAAGACAAATAGAAGGTATAAGGCGAGACTTGTAGCAAAGGCGTTCACACAAAGGGAAGCGGTTGACTACACTGAGATTTTTTCCCCAGTTGTCAAGTATACATCCATTAGGGTTTTACTTGCTATTGTGACACAATTTGACGTAGAATTAGAACAACTCGATGTGAAGATGGCCTTCTTATATGGTTCTTTAGATGAAACCATATATATGACTCAACCAAGAGGGTTTGAGGTTAAAGATAAAGGGAACTCTGTATGCCTTCTGGAAAAATCCTTGTATGGGCTGAAACAGGCCCCTAGGCAGTGGTATAAAAGGTTTGACTCTCTTATGCTAGGTTTGAACTTTAAGAAGTCTGAATATGACCCTTGTTTTTACTTTAAGAGAGATGGAGAAACTGAATTTTTTTATCTGCTCTTGTATGTTGATGATATGCTCCTTGCTGGTCATAATTCTGCTACTCTTAATATGATTAAAGAGAAGTTGAAATCTGAATTTGAAATGAAAGATTTAGGACCAACTAAGAAAATATTGGGCATGGAAATTAAAAGGGATAGGATAAATGGGAAGTTGTTTCTAATACAAATGTCTTATGTTGAAAAAGTAGTTAGAAGATTTTCTCTTCATGAATCTAAACCTGTTAGTCTGCCTTTGTCTGGAAGTATAAAACTTTCTGTTGATCAATCACCTAGATCAGAAACTGAACATAAAAGAATGTTGAATGTGCCATATTCTAATGCTGTTGGATCTGTGATGTATATGATGGTATGCTCTAGACCTGACATTGCTTATGCTGTGAGTGTGCTAAGCAGATTTATGAGCAATCCTGGTGAATTACATTGGCAATGCATGAAAAATCTGATTAGATATTTAAAAGGCACAAGTCATTTAGGTTTAATGTTCAAAGCTGATAAAAATGGACTTAAACTAAAAGGCTATGTAGATTCAGACTATGCTGGAAATCCAGATAACAGAAAATCCACAACTGCTTATTTTTATGTCATGGATAATACTTGCATTAGCTGGAAAGCACAACTACAAAAGGTAGTTGCTCTGTCTTCAACTGAAGCTGAGTATATTGCTGCAACTGAAGCTGTAAAGGAAGGATTATGGTTAAAAGGCTTACTAGGTGAATTAGGACTTGTAGAAAATCAGGTGGAGTTATGTTCTGATAATCAAAGTGCAATATTTCTTAGTAAAAACCCAGTTTTTCATGATAGGTCCAAGCATATAGATGTTAAGTTTCATTTTATTCGACATATTATTGACAGGGGTGATATTAAGTTGGTTAAAATACCAACACAGGTAAATCCTGCAGATGCAGGAACCAAGGTAATACCAATAAATAAATTTCTAGATTCTTTAAGATTATTGAATCTTGAAGATAACTAACTTTCTGTTTTTGTACAGGTAACAAGAGCAAATGAAGTTGGACTAAGTTCTAATCCACATAAGTACCGTCTAAAATGCAGCAAAAGGTGGAGATTGTAAAGTATTTGCTGATTTTAGGGCAGCCCATTTACGGATCCAACTCACAGGCCCAAAACTATTAGCATCACTTACTAGCCCAACTTTTGGAAAGATCTGGAATTGGTATAAAAACGTGTTTCTGGTGTGAAGGCGTTTTTGGAATAAAAGGGCCTTGAGTTGATGGATGACAAGTGGTCACCTGTGAACGGTTGGATCAAACTGATTGGCTCTCTCATATAAAAGGAAATGAACGACTCTAGGGCTTCACTTCTTCAGATCTTGACTTTCTCGAGCAGCTTCTTCTCTTCCAAAAGAACTCTTTGATTTCTCTGTATACTTTTATGTTTTGAATCTTGTGTGATTCTGTATATGGGAGAGTGATATATGAACTCTTGTGTGAGTTTCATATGGTTGTGGGAAGATTTTGTGAATGCTGTGTTGATCGAACTGCGTGTTCTGGATTTGTAATCTTTTGCCTATTTTTGGATGGTTCTAGTGGATTGAGCTTAATCCTTAACGGATGCTCAACGGGGAGTAGGCGTTAAAATCAATCGCCGAACCTCGGGGCCTTGGGCCAAAAAATTCTTGTGTTCTTGGTTTGATTTTTGTTCTTGTTTACAAATCGATAGTTTAAGTTTCTTTTGGGACCTACAGTGGTATCAGAGCCTAGGAGAAAAACTTTATCAATTTTTGTTACTGATTCGTTCGGTTTCGGTTTAGATCGGATGTTCTTTCCATATGACACCTAATATTGACTGTCTATCTGATTATTCTGACCTTGATGAAGGATCAGTTATACTTGGGAATGATGAGGTGTGTCATGTTAAAGGAATTGGCAACGTGTTGCTGAATTCAAAAATG